ATATAGTTAAAAAACTTTCATTTATTAAATCATTTAATGTAATCAAAATCTGTGGAAAAATTCGAAATTTTCTCAAGTTGTTCATTATTTTCTTACTGCTAATTTATTTTATGATAGTAGCTTTATTTCAATAACAGCTCTTCTATTATTATAGATTATTTTCCAACAATCATTTTTGAAATATTCCATTGGAAGCAACAGCATACTTTGTTCCTTACAAATATCTTATAGAAACTAATGACAAAACAATTTGTCTGCATCTTAATAGATTAGTTTTGAAAGTAAATAGATTAACTTAATGATTTATTTGCTTTTATATGACAAAAGTTCTGAAATCATTGAACGTTATCTTATGAATACGAAATATAAACTATTAGAAAATATTTTGTTACTTGAAAAATGTTTTGTTACTCCTTAAATATTCCAGCAAAAGTTAAAATTTAATCATATAAATGCTGACACTAAAATGGCAGTAAATAAAACTTGTGTTTACACTCAAAGAATGCTTAAGATACTTCGTTATTTTATTCAATGCAATACTTATTATCCTAACATTAAAAATAGCATTTAAAATTTCTAATTGCAGTGCTCAACTAACATCTCCTTTTATGAAGGGTAATAAAGGTACAATGGTTCTAGAGAAACTCTTGACCAGAATTGCTTTCAGTTTTCTCGGGAGCAACGCAAAATTAAACTTCATAATGTAAGCTTTTAATTTTAAAAATAAAGTCGTTTTAATTTCATACAGCGCGAAATTGTTCCAGTGAGTACAAACATATTATTATCAGGTGGCTGAATTGTTTTCGCAGTGGAAGTCTTACAACTACGTTGCGAAATAAAACTTTATGTAGTAATAATGTAGGCAGCAAAGATGAACGAATAATTAAAGCAAATAAAGCTGAAACGTTTTACGAGTTCTGTATTTAATAACGTTTTAAGGATCAATGAAAACTACTATTTTATATAAAACAAGCATTCCCTTTATAATATTTAATTAAAACTATTGTTGGAGAGAATTCTAATTTTATAACATTATTATGTAATGAGGATTTTACCAAGTTTATTAATTACGCATCAACTTGTATAATACTAATTTTACCATTAAACAAGTTGAAATAAAAGAATATAGATTTTATGAGAAGGAATTTAATCGCCAATGAAAAAGTTAATATTTCTTTCTAATTGCCGCCTTATTTTCTTTACGAAATGACATGTAAATTTTCTACTTATAATTTAGCTTCAAATTAGACCTATAGCAATTTAGTACATAATTACTGATTACATATAATATATATCTGAAGTATTTTTTCAGCACATTTTGCTATATTTGGTTTCCTGTTGTCACCATTGCTGATTGTTTCTTGCTGGTAAGGTGGTTTACTTTTTTTCACATTCGGACCTTATTTTTGAATGCCCTTCAAAACGGTTATATGAATTATAACAAATGTTTCAGAGACTCATGAAAATTTCTACATCCTGATATCATCCCGTAATATATACATTTTTAATATCAACGGCATTTCAAGTTTTAACTATTTTTATTGCCATCAATTTTTTTTCATAGTTTCCATTTCCGTTCGTAATTAGAATCAATATATTATACTTCGCTACTTTAAACTTCGCAGGGGCACGTTTTCCTTTATATTTGTGAATTATTAAATAAACAATCAAAGATGAAGAGTTTTTTTTTATATAAATATTTACTATAATATGAGAAGGAAACTAAAACCAATTTGATTCAGAGCTTCTCTAAACTTGAAAATAAAGAAAAATGAACAGAAAAACACGAGTCCAACAAGAAAGAAATAGTAAATAATGCATGATTTTATATTACTTCCCATTTTCTGGAATCCAAGAAGTTTAAAAAACAAAATGTTTCACATTTTCTAAAGGCTGTCATAAAGCTTTAGCAGATGATTTAAAAATAGGGGGTGGCAATTTCTTACTGATACTCCATAACTTTTGAAATATTTTCAATCGAAAACCTTCACGCAGCTCTAAAACTTTGCTGACATATTTACAAAATCTTAAGTTCTTCAATCATCAAATAAAAGAATCCAATATCTGGATGATTTGTTTAGTAACATGTTTTCTAAAATGGATAAATATAATACAATAAATAAATCATTAGAAATTAAAGACTTATTTATCTCCGAAATTTTTCAAGTTTAAATTGCTGAATATTGCTATTAAATATATTTCGTATTCAATTACCAGCTATATACTTTCCTTATGAATGCTTGGTTAAATCCTATTGCAGCCCACACCTTGCCGAATAATTTTCCCAAGAATCATCAATGTGGTGACAATACGCGTTTTTCAAACTTTTCTGGTAAATTTTGAAGTAGATATTTTGGAAATTTATATAATACAGATGAAAAAATTCGAGGTCTATATTTGTTTTAAAGACGGAATATATATTTTTTATCTTACTCACACTAGTTAAATTCATTTACATCAAATTTCTGGTTGAATATTATAAATCTTAATAAACATATTAACCTTTTTCAAAGTACAATTTATGTTTCCTTATTCCAATGAGAACCAAGCATCATAGCTACTGCTTTCTAAACAGACTGTTAGTTAAACACTCCCAACACAACCTCAAAAACCAGCAGTAAATATACGTTTCTTAAAATTGCCCACGAATATGTCCTTTCAATTCTAGTAATTCCAGGTATCTACAGTATTCAAAATCACTATTCGCCCATTTGGAACCATAACTGAAATTTCCAAGTATTCCAAAGCCATTTCCGTTGGCAATCGCAGGCGTTTCGCGAACAGCGCCTTGGATCCGAGTGTCCATTTATTAAAATTAATCACACCATTATCTTTTACGCGCAATAAACGTAACCTTCCTTTCCAATGTAACCGTGTTACCTACGCTCATTACACGACCCTAAGTATTCAAACACACTTAATACATTAGCACATTAATAGCTTAACCCGACAGCGGAATGTACAGAGATTTAATGTACTAGTTACCTAATGGTTATTGTTCCGCAACGGAACACTCTACTCGTTGTTATCGTTTTCCAATCTAGTAAGTCAACATTTTACATGGCGGAGCATGACTTAGTTTAGAAGGAAATGATTCCTGACATTAAACGATATTCACGCGACGTTGCTTGATATTAATGCGAAAATTATATCGGGGTATTGATGCGCGTCAAGCACGCACGCGTTCCAATAACGGATGATACAAAGTATCAGTTTATTATGCATAACTAATTGGTACAATTTTTCTCTTCACGACAAAAACACCCATTCACGCTGTTGGTGTTTTTTAGATCCAAGCCGTTGGCTGGTATGCACGGTCGTTCTCCGGATGCCCAAAATAACATAAATCCCTGTTTCATGTCAAAAAAGTAATTATTTCCTTACAGTATTCCATAATATTCTCTCTATTTTACCGTTATTTTTTTTAAACTGTAAGCACCAACAACAAAACCTAACTACTTAACCCTATAAGTTCCATAGGCGTATATATACGTCTCGCTCCAGAGGAGCTTTAAATGCCTCTGACATATATGCACATCTTTCCGAAGTACGATTAGCTTTTCACGCGGCTATCATTACAACTGTTCCAAAGATTTTGGAAAGGAGTAAAATGACCTTGACAGTGTTTGCGAAGAATTTACTTATTTCAGAGAAAAATTTGCTTATATTTGCGTCTTTTCTGTCCCCTTCCCCAATACACCGCATACGCGCGTCTGTATGAAAACCGGTGGCTCTGGGAAGCGAATCAAGTAAATTTTAATAGACAGTTAAGAGGTTAATACAGGCAAGTACAAATACGTACTAAAAACTTGCTTCCCGTCTGTACCCATGGTTCTGTCAGTGTATTGCACAATATAAAAATAATAAATAAGTTGGGAGTGATTGAGTTTTATTGAGATTATACAACTTGCCCTGTATCCAAAAAATCGCTACATAAAAGAGGACTGTTAAGACAAATGCCAGAACATCAATTATAATAACTCTAACGAGATATATAAACCTAATGTACTGCTATTAATTAATTCATTGTATATTGTACTCTTTCTTTTGAACATACTTACGTTATTGGATTTAGTCATTTTTAGTTTTCTTTTAGTTTAAATTCTCCTGACACGCTGAACCCACGTTACATTGAGCGTGATTAAAGTTTATACAAACAAATCCTTGAGGAAATATTGATCTTATTTACATTATATTATGCTCCGAATGCAATTGAGATAATTATCGCTTATTATATGAATGCACAACTTCTGGTAAGAAGTAAGATGTTCCATTACAAAACGTATTTCATAATAATATTGAAACAATAAGCAACCAAATAGTTTATTCACTCATGTTGAACTGTTTGCTTCTGAAATATCTTATCATATGCACCAGGGGATTCAATACCTTACGCATGTCCTCTCTAGTTTAATATAATAATAAAATTCTTATTTGGAAATTCTTATCTCAATGGTACAGACAAGCTAACAAGAAAATAATGTAAGCAGATTTACGCTAGGAAATTATTCCACGAATGAATTAACCTATAGCCTATTAAAATTAATACAATGGTATTAATTTTATGAAAATTATATTTCTTTATCTTCTTTTCTAGAAGAAAGGAAACAGTGCATTTATAATAATGATAAAATTATATAGTTCAAAATTGTAAAATTATTTTATAGTAAATTATTACTCTTATTGTATCCACTATAATTACTACACTTGTTATTCATCAAGTTATAATACATTTCTATATACTAATACTATTTCATTATTAATAATTAAGAATATACAACTAAATAGTAGCCATTAGTTATTTAATAAATGGCATAATTTTATAAGTGGGGTAGTTTGTATACAATTACTAAGAATATATGTGTGTGTATTGTTCAACAATGTTCTGGAAAAAAGAATTGTTTTATTTATTTTAATAAGATGTGTTTCACCTCTTATCGAATTTTGTAAAGCATTTTTTTTTTTGCATAAAATATCCCTCTATAAATAACTGTATTGAAAAATGACCTTTTATTAAGTCCTTTAGTAAGGATCCATTTCATGGCAAGTATGAATCGAACAACTGCAGAATCCCAGCTGCAATGGCGTATATGTGGATGTTGTAAAGGTTAAGAAGCTCACTCTTATATTTCAGCTTTAGATGGATGATCCGCTTATCGGAGGTCGTTCTTAAATTTTTTTGGTCATTTGGCCTATATCTTGGCAATGATCTGCAGCGATTGCCCTGAGTGGCCGGGGACTATACGTTGAAAAAATGAGGGTGCTTAGAGTAGGCGCTACGCTTGGATAATGGTGCATAATACAATGGATTAGGACATCGGGGTTATTTTGTTGGTCTTCGGAGCCCAAGGCAATGCGATTAAAGGAAACATTCGGGAGCACTGGTGCTCCCGAATGCCAAAGATAAAAATCTTAGACCGCTGAACACGAACGTCCATGGAAAACTTTTCCAATAATGTTTCCAGCAACCAAGAACATAAGATTGTGATTTAAACACGTTAAAATTCGGACTAACCTAGAGAAAGGCCAAGTATGGATTCAGACATTTATAATTATTTCCCTTTATTACTTATCACTTTATGTATTACTTATTCCTTTTTAACTCTAGTCAGAAATTATGCATCTTAGTTTGAGCAAATAGTAAGTTTTATATAGTTAGCAAAAAAAAAGTTTTATATACTTATTTTCTGAGGTTAATACACTACTACATTACAACCACATTGCATTACACCCTATTACTGCAGTACAAAAATAAGCAATAAAAAAGTCTATGATCATAAAATATATGCTATTAACTTCCAATGTTAAGGATTTCTCATAATTGGAACTTGTAAACATTTAGCATTAGACAAATAAGCGAACTTCAACATTTCAAAGGTGATACGAGAAAATCAATTAAATACGGTTGACTATCCAATTATAGGTAATATTTGTGTTATCTAAACATAAATATTAACTAAAATTGTTCATGAATATTACCTAAAATTCTAGTGAATAAATGAATAACGTAGGAATATAATTATTTAATTATTTATTCAATCGTTAATAAAAATGCCTAATGGTTGAATAAATAATTAAGTAATTATATTCCTACGTTATTTATTTATTCACTAAATTTCAATTACAATGTTACTTATGCATTCGTTTAGTAAATCATTAAGCAAAAATTAAAAAAGGTAGAAAATAAGAATATAAAAAAGCCACATCTAGCACACTTTTTTCTATAGCACTGTATATTATAATTAAATACAAAATTATTAAGTTACTTTTAAAAAATTTCGGTTTTGATAGCAAATAATGGCTTTGTAAGCCTGTAAAATATTAATTTTTCATAGTAAGTTTTATCAAACATTTAAATACATTTTCTTCAAACAAAATAAGTGCTTCACAAAAGCATAACCTTAAAACTTCCATTTTAATGAGTTCACAATTTGCAAAGAGATAAATTATAAAAGTTTGGATCATTTCCGTTTTTTCTATATAATGGCTTAAATAATCACTCCGGAAATTAAACAGATTAAAGTATATCCCTCCATTTTTTAGCATTTGGAAACTATCAGGAATTAAATATTATTTTCGGTATTTTTTCCGATATATAAAACCTTTTTAAATAACACAAATGGATAATTTCACTTTCCACATCTTCCAAACTCGAAAAAAAATATTCTTTTGAAAATTGATTCATTTATTGAAAATTAAAATTTCCGTTATATCTCATTTTATGCCAAATGAATAAAAAAGATTTCTTGTTTTTTTTTATAAGATAAAATACAATAAAATATTCTTCATCCCTATTTGTTTCTTCAAAAGACGATACTTTATTCTAAGCAGGAAAAATATTTAATTAAAATATTTATAATGGAAAGACGTATAGAAAATAAGCATTTTGTGAAATGACAGATTAGGGAGAGGTAATAACTTTTTTGAAACATACATATTTTTTAATGTTACAATTATCTTTAAAATAATTTCGTAATTATCTTATAATTGCTAATATTTGATTTTATTTCATCTTTAATAGATTCTTTTGAAATACATACCGAAGGAATAAAATTATATTAACAATTCTTTTTATAGAACTAACAACACATTAATGATAACGTGGCCAAAATATAACCTTTCCTGATGTTAAATTCCCCACTTTAAGCATTAACATTTTTTGCTGAATAAATTGCGATAAAAAATTGGATTTTAATAAAGGCCTTTAAAATATTAAATATGTTTATTTTCAAAAACAGCTGAGAGGATATCCCTAATGACAAATGACCTAACAGCTGTTAAGCACGGTTGAATGCTCAGCGGCCTTTTGTTTTTGCTTGATAAAGATATCATTATTAATTACAGTAAGTAAAAACTGCACTTTTTAAATTCAATTTTGATATTTTACTTTATTTATAATAAAAACTGGGAAGAAATAAGAAATTCTTGGTTACTTCACCATGGTTCATTATGCTCAGTAATGTGGATTATTTTACGTGCCATAATAAGCATAAAAAATTGTTTTTGTTAACATTTTTAAAAGGGCAAATGCCAGAAAAATATTCACCAATTTAAAGTCATTATTCTTACTGCAGGGAAAATCTAAGCTCATTAGAAAAGAATGCATGGTAATTATATAAGATAAACTTTTTTTTTTTAAGTTTAAAAAAGTTAAAGAGTAATCTCATGAACATTAACCCATTAACACTAACACGAAAAATATCTGAAACATTTTTTAGTAAATGTATATCATAAGAGAATCATCAAAGAATTTCCGCACGTAATCATAGATATACTTAATGATTTAATGTATTCCCACTTACAGTAAATAAGTTTCTTGAAATACAACCAGCAATAGAGGATTGTTAAAATGGCGAAACTTACAATAAAATACACATTTCCAGTGAAAATAGTTTAATTTTCTGAATATAGATCAAAGAATCTCAATAGTAAAAAGACACATTCATTTGTGAGTATTCAGATAGGAAATGCGTTTTATATACATTTTTTGACAAACAAATTGAAAAAAAAAAATCAGTACATTATATTTCATATGAATTAAAATTTGAATCAATAATAGTTTTTCTTGTTCAATTCTTAATTATTTGTTAAATATATCCCGTTTTTCTTATACATTAACACGTACAGAAGTTAAAAATATATCTAGCATATTGCAACTAATATGAAGTGAAAACAATTGAATGCATCAGTTCATATTTGAAACATTTTAGTTTGAAACCAAATATAATTGAATAATTGTTAAAAACTTACTGATTTTATTTCTAAAAGAATTATAATATATATGTACATATTATTTTATACACTTCCCTTCATTTACTTGACTTATTTCATATTTAAATTGTCAACTCGTTATCTTTTCCATAACTATTACGCCAAATATTTGTTATCTCCGTTTTTGGTTTCACAAACACATTGCTCTCTCATAAGATTATCTAATTCTTTTAATCACAATCGAAGTTACTAGTTCTGTTTCTTGGAAATATTTCCGCCAAAATTGCCGATCTTCTCAAATATATCTTTTCGCTATATTTCGGTTACCGCCAGGAATACATTTTGCCGAAGTTTATTAAACAAAACTACAAATTCATTCAAACAGTTGGGAAATCGCGAGATGAAGCAGCTGGGAAAAGTATTATGTTGTCTCTAAAATGAAGTGCGTTTGTTTAGTCTATCAGTTCAAAGTCGAGTGAAACTCTTGAAAAAGCTGCAAAAAGTAACAAGACTAAGCTGCTTTTGTCGACCCTCATTGGAAGGCGGTTGAATCAACATCATTACTCTCTAAAAGAGAGAATTGTGGGGTGGAATGCAAGTCACATAGCAGCAACCACTTTTCTGACTTTGTTTAGTTAAGCTCTTTCAGGAAATAGCCGATAACAAATAACTTACCTTTTTTCTCCCATTCCCACTTATGTCGTCTTGATTAAGACGCATCAGTGAGATTGTTATATGCTGATATGAACTTGAAAGTTATGTTGAGGGTTTCTTGGATAAGAATACAAATGAATGCTATTTTAGGACGTATAAATAATCTGATAATAAACAAGTAGTTCTTGGTTTACTCTTATTTTCAACTTTATGTTCTAGAACTTGGTTTATGAAGATATTAAGCATTTAAGAGGATTCGGTAAACTAAAAATGACAGAACACACTTTTAAATACTTTTTTAGTTATTAATAATTTTTAATTATTACTGTTCTATTGATATATTGTATTTGTATGTATGAGAATAAAAATTTGAAGGAATACGCTGTAGAATGTATATAAACATGTTACTTTATTAGAGATCTTAATAATTTAAATTCATTTTCTCATAGGAAACTTTTTTTAAACGAATTTACTTTGTTATAAATTTAATTGTAGTGCTTAAAGCTCCTAGGGCCATTATTATCATATTAAAACTTAAAAATCCTTAAAGATATTTGATATAATTAATTTTATAATTTATGGCCGTATTCGTCATATGTTTAATGAAAATATAATATTTTGATCTTTTTTTTGAAAATATATAATGGATGCAAAAAAAAAAAAGAATATATTTGCTGTTAAGAGAAGATATACTTCCAAAAAATTAGATTAAGGTTATTAGATTTTTACTTAACTTTTCCACATAAATCATCATTTTATATTTTTTTCCTTCAAAGCTTAAGAAGCTCTCGTAAAATTGGTATAAAAAATTTATTAAATTTCCTTTAGAATACTGTTAAAAAGAACAATAAATTTTAATAAATATGCAAAAGTAAAATTTCGAATTTTCTAGTTTTTTTAGAAAAATATTAATTTAGATTTATAAAAATATATTTTTGGAAAAAAAATTGAATAAATGACAGAATTATTACTATCTTCTCATCACTTATTTCATTATAAAAGCAATTGCAGCATACCCTAATCGTCTATTTTTACTGAAAAATTCCATCATCATAAACAATTTTAAAGTTATTTGGAAAATCACATTTGGAATTTTATGAAGTATAATCCATAATCAGCTCAAATTGATATGATTTGCAATAATTATTTTATTTATATTATGTCATAAATACTTTAAATACATAAATATATATAAATTTATATATTTCCATTAACAAAAAACAATCTGAAATTTGAAGATATTTTTGCATGAAGATACCTTGAAAATGTTCTTTAGTAAGAAGATACACAAAACTGACTATATAAAACAGTCCAGACTATGGTAATATCCATCTCTTCTATAAAATCTAAGCAGATAATACATATGCGGAAAGTTATTTGGATAAAATTATTAAAAAGTTCAGATATATTTTTTTACGTTGATAGTAATACCATGTCGTTACAAAGCCCCTCACTTTTGTGAAGTAATAAAACTAGAATACGGCACGAAAAATCTCATAAACTTTCACTGAAATGTCATCCATGATGGCGATAGACAGAATAGTTTTTATTGTTTTTTATTTCAGAGAATGAAGAATTGGAACACAAAAATGCTGCTCTCGTTCTTTATACTAAAGTTAGTTCTGAAAGGCTG